TTCTGTTTAATGTATATGATCTGACAAGATCAAAGTGGTATGGCTGCAAGGTTTTCTACAGGCAACTATAGATAGAAACCCTGGGTTTTTGAGCAATGTCCTATCCATGAATAAAGTGAATTTACTGTCTCAGATTCAATAGTTATTTTTCATCAATAGCAGGTAGTAACAGTACCTGTGAGCTAGATTGCTCATTTGAACTGTGTTCAGATTCTAATGTAAGCAAAAGGCTTCTTTGGAAAATAAATAATTCTCAGTTCCCTACTTGCCCTCTATCATTTGCACTATATTGTCTGTAGGGCTATAGCCAGATGCCAAGAACCATCCTAATAAATTAAATTAATTTGGAAAGAAGAATCTTCCCGAAATTTGAATCTCAAATTATATTTTGTGCAAGAATTTGTATAAACTCAGACTATTCATGTTACCGTTTTCTTTTAGCCTTTCTATTACTTGACTTGGAAGCTCCAGCAGAATACTGTCCTTCAGAGGCACTTTTTGTGTTGTCTGTAAACTACTAAGAGATTTTGCCATCTACATACCTTGCTATTTCTAACAGTAAAAACTATGATTTACGACAGCAAATATATTTTACGTAGTATTAGACCTATGTATCATCTTAAATTCCACTCATATTCAAATCCTACTGAAGGCCCATTGATTTCAGTGAGTGTTGAATCAAGATCATCGAATGGAGCAGCTGAAGTAAGTGGCAGAAGCAGCAATACTAATTTTGTACAGTGTGTTTGGCAATATTGTTGCCACATATTAGGGCCCTACCATATTCACGGCCATAAAAAACGTGTCACGGACCTTAAAATCTGGTCTTTTGTTTGCTTTTACTCTATACTATACAGATTTCATGGGGGAGGTCAGCGTTTCCCAAATTGGGGTCCTGACCCAAAAGGGGGATCACAAAGTTATTTTAGGGGGGTCATGGTATTGCAGCCCTGACTTCAGAGCTGGATGGCTGGAGAGCTGAAGGCAGCGCCCCACCAGCAGCAGCTCAAGAAGTAAGGGTGGCAATACAATACCATGTCACTCTTACTTCTGCGCTGCTGCTGGCAGCGGCTCTGCCTTCAGAAGTGGGTTCCTGGTCAGCAGCTGCCGCTCTCCAGCTGCTTAGCTCTGAATGCAGCACCGCTGCCAGCAGCAGCACAGAAGTAAAGGGTAGCAGTACTGCAACCCCCCCTACAAAAACTTTGTAACCTCCCCAACTCCTTTTTGGGTCAGGACCCCTACAATTACAACACCATGAAATTTCAGAATTAAATAGCTGAAATAATGAAATTTACGATTTTTAAAATCCTGTGACCGTGAAATTGACCAAAATGGATCGTGAATTTGGTAGGGCGCTACACATTACAAATAAATAGAATCCAAGTAATGAAATAAAAGGCTTTTTTGGCCCTTTTAATTAGGCAGTTTTCGTGGACTTCAAAATCAGTGTGTGCTTTGTCTGTATAAACACAATGAAGCATACTGAAGGGCAGAAAATGTTGAGATGTAGATAGTAGTGAAATCCTAACTAAAACAGTATCAATAGTGGGTAGTGATTGACTGTAGTCTTCATCTAGAAAAGTATACCTGAAGGCAAGCATAGCATCTGCATAATCCAAAAATGTTTTGATGGGGAAGTTCAGGACTTCTAAAATTTTAGAAAGGGGTGGGAGTAAGCCAACACATTACCTGTTCCAACACTAAAGAAAATTGGAAATAAACTGCAGTTTAAATGGTTGAATTTTTGGAATTTTTCTGCAAGCTGGGGAGAGAGGGACATGTATTTTCCACCCCAAGCAATCTTTCTACTGAAAGAATAGTGAGGCCACTGCCTCTTTAGTATTTGAGGAAAATTTGAGTTGATGCCAGCTTCATATTACACTGGCATATCTCTGTGCTTGGGGAATCTCCAGCTGTCTGCTCTGGGCAGCTTTAAGACCCTTTGTGCAACTGGAAGAGTGTGCAGGAGACACATAGCAAGGCTGAAGATCTGCCTCAAGATCTTTAATTTCATTGTCATATTGCTAAGGGAATCTAAGCCATACAGGAGGCAGGGCTCTTAACATTCAGTAAGCTTTTTCTTCTTCCAGTCCAGCTACAGTTAGCATGTTTACTTCTATCTTCTCATCTCTGTGTCTCTCTCTCTTTCTAACCTTTCTTGCTTCCTGTATTTTTTTCTTTCCTTCCTTGCCTTCCCTTGGCTTCTTTAATTTTCCCATCTCCCTCTGCTACCATTACTTCAATCTGTTCCCGTGTACCTTCTTCAAAGACAGAGAAACTCCATAACATAACGAAGATGGGGTGATTCTCTTGCATGACAGTGCTGTTCAGGTGATACCCACAGCAACAGTTTAAAATTTGAGAATTAATCCTAAATTGTTTTTAATTGATCTTGATTATATGACAGTGCATATATTCCAAGAAGGCAACCTCAATTCATAGTTATTTCCCCAGGATACCCCTGCTTGAGTGAGTGAAAAAAAATTCTGTGAAACTGTGGGTCCAATTCAAATAATTGAAAATGACAGAAAAGAAAAGGTCTTAAATCTGGTCTCTGTAGAATTTTAGAGCAACGAAGTTTGCATGCATGACCTTAACTATGCCCTCTTTTGTGAATGCTTTATGACAGTCCTTAATTACATGGTCACTAATTTTTCTCAAACGCAGCATAATATGCAATTTTATAGTCTTAAATAGATATATGTAGCAGCTTATAACATTTCATTATTGTATGCTTTCAGTATTGTCACTGTCAGAATAGTGCCACTATATCTTGGACTTTTAATGTGAATTTTCTTTTCTCAAAGCATTAAAGATATGCAGTTTAATAATTTTGTCAGCACAACTGTACTGTGGTCATTGTTAGGTTTAGTTTTAGGTGTCTGAAGCTTTAATTAGAGGTTGTGTACAGAGCAAAGTTTTACCAGTTGTAGAAAGATTGTTGTACAGGTTTTACTTACACACCCACACCCACACCCAGTGTCGACACACTTATTCCAGTAGAAGACTGGAGTTTTTCAATTTAGCTTAAACCCCTTCTTAAGTGAAATAAGTTTTTAAAAAAAGGCACTTTTACTGTCCACCTGAGGGATTCTATCAATTTAATTAATATCTACACCTCTACCCCGATATAAGGCTGTCCTCGGGAGCCAAAAAATCTTAACACGTTATAGGTGAAACAGCGTTATATCGAACTTGCTTTGATCCGCCGGAGCGCGCAGCCCCGCCCTCTGGAGCCCTGCTTTACCGCGTTATATCCGAATTCGTGTTATGTCGGGTCGCATTATATCAGGGTAGAGATGTATTTAAATTCACACCTTAGGTTATACCAAAATCATTTTCTTGGGTAGACAAGGCCTTAGGTAGTCCATATATGTCGACAAATGTTGACTTTTACTCTATTTTACTCAGTAAAATTTGGGGTAAGTACAGTTTTCAGTGTACTCTTTAAAATATATATATAATATATATAAACAACTTTCATGAACTCTGTTTTTCTAGCGTAAACCAGGTAGGATACAGTGTATCTCAGGTTATTCAGATGTCCAAAGTAGCAGAGCTAAGATTGTGCATGCAGTCTTAACTTTTGGCATTTCCTAACTTCTGAGTGCTTTGGTGTGCAACCTTAATGTTTGATTATTATTGCTGCTATGGAATATAAATAAGGCTTGAAAAGATGCTCAAAATCAAATATGTGTATTGCGGTATACAAGGCTTAATGGCTTACTTTTCCATTGCTCATTTTAAAATTGAAAGGTCCAGCTTCCTGTTTTCCTTATCCTAAGTGATTGATTGTCTATCTGCGCTCTTATAATTCCTAAAACTGCCTGTTGTAGAGGAATTTAGTAAAGTGGCTGAGAAATCTGACTTCTACTTAACCTTTCATCTCAGAAACATACAATTTGGTCCTAAATAGCTGAAAACAGACTATTTTTAGATTCTAATTTAGACAACATTTCCAGATTTGTTTTGTCATAGCATGGTGTCTGCTAAGTTGGAAAGGCTTGGAGCCAACAGAAACCCTTGAGGGTTTGCGTTGATTGTTGTACACTAGTCCATTAAGCATCTCTCCGCATTATATATTTTAGATTTATAACAAACTAATAGCATGGACACTAAAATATTTTAAGTCTAGACTACTGTCTTATAAAACCAAAGGCCCTCTTATGTATGCAAAGATCAGAAGTTTGCTATACTGAGACATTGCAACCTTTGATGATGATTCTCTTCATCTGGTGGCATAATCTGGAAAATAACTGATAGGACCAGTAGAAATGTGGAAGGAGCTTCAAACTGGGTCACTAGCTCCGTTGGCCAGAGTGGGCTTGGGATGTTGCAGAGGAAGTTTATTTAGCCCCTTTACAGGGTCATGGGGAATAACACTTTGTGTTGCTCTTTACTGATCCCGCTAATCTTTACTTGGGGTGTTGATGGGTTTTGAAGAAAGCCACATGTATTAATTCTGCCGGTGGAAAAGGGGTTCTTGTAACTTTGGAAGAGGAAGCAAAGGGGGGGCATAGGAAAACCTTGCAGGGACCTCCCTCTTCTAACCTCTCCCATCAAATAAGCTTAGTATTTTGGCAGTGTTCGAGGCAATTGATCAAAAGTGTTTGACGTGACAAATATCCTTCTGGTTTTCTATTCTCTTTTTAATTTTATGTAATAAAAATAGCATTGAGGAGACTTCAGAATGCAGTGCATATTGTATTAAATGGAGGAAATAATCGAAGATAAAGTTGATATAATTGTATGGCTCTCTTAATGTCCCAAGCACCTTAAAATTATTGTGTGTGTTGATCTCAATAACACTGAAGTGTTGCTACAACTGAGGTAGAACATTGCAGTTATTTACCAATGCACCACAACATTACGTAATATTTTAGGACAAAAATGAAAAGCACCATATCCATTTGAAACTGTAAGTGTGAGATGGTTGAAGATTAAGAGGCAGAAAGTAATTACAAGTGTTTATCTAACTGAATGCTCACTTTGTCTTCCAGAGCCATGGTGTCATGGAAAGGGATATACTTCTTACTTGCACTGTTCTTGGCAAGTTTTTTTGGGAGCATTTTCATGCTCAGTCCTTTTCTACCTTTGATGTTTGTCTCCCCGGCCTGGTATCGCTGGATCACTGACCGCATTGTGGCCACCTGGCTCACACTCCCAGTGGTAAGTTGCAATGTCAGTGTAATTATTATAGGGGGAGCTGTTAGTGTCCCCATATTTAAGTTGCTTAACACTTTCCATTATAAAAGATTCTTGTGGATTTTTTTTTTTTTTTAGGAAACTCCAACACCTCAGATACCACCCAGCTTGGGCTAAATTTAGCTAGACCAAATTAGTACATGTAGTGGGACTTGTTTACGCTGGACTTTTAAAATAGCTTAGTTAGCGTGTTAGCTAACATCACAGTTTAAATCCTAATCTAGACAAAGCCTTAGTGTGAAGTCTCCACCCCATTCCCCAAAAGAACTTCATTCTAAGCAAATGGCCTGGAACAATTTTGAACTTCCATTCGACTTAACTGTAAATGGAGTTCCCCTATATCAGAGTTCATGGTATTATACTGGATTTCGCTCTTTGTGCCATTGGAAGATGGAAAGTATCTCCCTTGTAGTATTGGAACTATCCCCTTTGTACATACAACAGATCAAACTTTTAATATTACTCTCAATGAGAATACAGTTCAGTTAAGGCTTCTCTCCTTTTTTGCACTTTTATCCTTCAGTGATTAATTCCCACTTTTCCTTCCTTTCTTTCCTCCACCCCAACCCTCCTCCAACCTCTCCAAAGCAGTTCAGCTGCAATCACAAGAGCCTTGAAGTATTTGGGCTGCTTTATGTGCAGCTCGAAGTTTGTTTATTCTTTCCACCATTACAAAGATTATTACAATGCTACAAAATCAGGAATTAAAAATTAACAACTGGGCAAATTTTTCCCCCATTCACAGTTGAATAGTATAGGCCACTTTAATCTCTTGTGGACATGTTTCAAATTCAGTTGGTAGTAATAATATCAGAAGTCTGACCTTGTGCTTGTCTACCAGATTTCTTAAAATAGCTAACTCAAGAAACTGGGTACCAAATTTCCATTCAAATTGTAGAAGAGTGGTGTTTTTGTGTTTGGAAATCCATAAAAGCTCCAAAATCTCCAATACTGATTATGACATAGCTGCTTTTAAGATTTTTTTTTTTTTTGTTAAAAAAAGTGCCTTCAACTTAGAATACTTTTATGTATTAAAATTGTTATGTGAATGGCAGCTTAGTATCTGGAAATAGTAGCAGTGGTAGGTAGAAGTAGAGCTGAGCACATAATTGTTTTTTTTGGTTCAGGGGACAAACCAAAACATGGCTTGGTTTGATTTGAACCAAAGCTGATTTTTTTTTCACTATTTCTCACCAAACCAAACATGCAAAAACTTTTGTTTTGGTTCAAATGCTATGTTTTGTTCAACCCCAAACTATTTTGTGTGTGTGTTGCATTGTTGGGTTTTTTTTTAATTAGCTACATTTCAAAATGAAAAATCTTTGACTTAAAAAAATCCACTTGTTTGGTTGAAACCATTTGCTGAATTTGACCTGAATTCACGAATCATCTTGGTGCCCTGAAAAATGCATTTTTTGGCAAATTTACTGTCCGCTGAAAAAAGGTTACCTTGCTCTAGTATGACACCAAGGAGCCTATGCCCTACAAAGGCTTCCACAAAAGCTTCAAGCAGTCTCGGTACTGAGGAATCTTCTCTATCTAAGTCCTTGTCTGCTTCCAACATATACAGTACCCGTCACTCAGTATTGAGGCCCTTGGTACCATTGAAACTGGGACTAGAGATTACTGATCCTCAGCACTGTACTAAGAAGGCAGTATGTCAGTATTGAGGCCCTTGGTACCATTGAAACTGGGACTAGAGATTACTGATCCTCAGCACTGTACTAAGAAGGCAGTATGCTCTGCATCTTCCACGGCCTCGTCGGTACCTAGACCATTGGTAGAGCAGGTTCCAGAACAATCAGTAAAACACTCATTATCTCTCACCTCTATGGCTGGGACTTACCAAGTCACCATGCTGGCTCACCCAGTACCGCAAGAGTTCAGGTTCTCAAAGGACCTGCTTATTTCTGAGGAACCTGAGTCTCTTCTATTGAAGTCAAGATTCCTGGTACCACAATCAGCATTATCCCAGTATCCCCCCTTTCACCGGGATTGCCTACCTCCCTGGTACCAATATGTTCTGAAAGATGGCTGCTTCCTCCTCCACTGGACTATGAAGAGGAGGGTTCTTCAGATTCCCAAATTTCTCTGCAGGGTTCTGCTGACTACCTACATTTGACTATCTGGAACCTGCACCTCCTTCCAATTTCTTTCTCCCCAGAGGTTATCATCCCTCATGTATCACTTTGAGTTAGAATACTTTCAAGATCCAATGAAGAGGGCAGCAGACACCCTTCTGATCCCATTAGAGGAAGTGCAGGAGAGATCGCATAAATGGCTTGACATCTTGCAAACATAATCTTCAGCATGGGTTGCCTTCCCTATAAATGAAGCACTATTAAAACCTGCCAAGTCCATCTGTCAATCTCTTGCTATTGTGTGTCTCTCTCATCTCCCAATGGCCAAAAGATCAGACAAAAAGTATTCTGTCCCATCTAAGGGCTGGAACTTCTTATTTTCCCCACACTGAACCAAATCCTCTAGATGTGGACATAGTAAATGAGTGTCAGAGGCAATACTGTTTGGAGACTATACCCCATGACACGGACCACAAATCCCTGGAGTATTTGGGTGTAAGAGTTACTCTTTTGCTACTTCACAATTCCAAAATGCTAACTTTCAGTTGATTCTGGCAAAACACAGTCACATTCATTAAATTAAGTGTAGCTCTTTCATCGAACATCTACTACAACAGTACAAAGAACAGTTCCAAGCCGCCATTGCAGAAGGGCAGCTCTTGACCAGAACAACCCTGCAAACTTCTCCGGATGTGGCTAATATGGCAGCTCATTCTGTTGTTATGGCTGTAATCATGTGCAGGGTATCATGACTCCAATCCCTTTCAATGGTCCCTTTCACGGTCAGTGACACCATGTATAATTTGGTGAATACTTTGAAAGACTCCAAGGTGACCCTCTGTTTGCTGGAGATATATATAGTCTGCGAACAAAAAGAGGTTTCATCTCTCTCAGGTGGCGCAGAGATAACCTCCTTCTCAATTCTCAACTTTCCATAGATCTTTGGAGTACCTAGGGAATAAAAATAACACATTTCAAAAGGGACAATCTTCAACTGCTACAGCAACCTCGACTCAACAGCTAATGACAGCCAAATGTTCCTTTTGACTCCTTGGTCAAGGGCCACAATGTGCTGATTTCAGCCCTTTGTTGCACCATCTTACACTAGGCAATTTTCTTCCTTTTGGGAATGGTCTCTCCCATTTTCACACCTTAAATGAGCAGATTACCTCTGACAGATGGGTCTTGGAGGTTATAACTTTGGGAAACTCCATTAAGTTCCACTCCATGATTCTTGCCCCATCCTTTTCAGGTAGCTCTCTGAGGGTTGTTTATTTCTGTTGTGGCCAGAACTATAAGGTTGCTGTGACTAACCAGAGGCTTTCTAAATGCAGGTTTCTGTTTACATACTCACCTGTTATGTGGATGCTAACATATCCTGCCTCCCAAGGTCATTGTTCATTCTACAAGATCGTACTCCACATCTGTAGCCCTGCTAGAGGGTGCATTTATTACAGAAATATGCAAGACTGCTACATGGGCTTTGATTCACACTTACTTGTCACACTATGCCTTGCTTGATGCATCCCAAGCAGATGCTGCCTTTGGCTCTGTAGTCCTACAGAGAGCCTTAGACTGAGTTCCAAAGAACCTCCTTCCTTTAAAGCATGCTAATAGGGAGTCACCTCAAGTGGAGCACCCATAGGGATACTACTTGAAGAAAAAGAGGTTACGTACCTTGTTTGGTAACTGAAGTTCTCCGACATGTGTGTCCCTGCGGGTGTTCCACTACCAACCCTCTTTCTCCTCTGCTTCGGATTCTCATCTTGGGGCTTTGCAGTATAGAAGGAACTGAGGGCATTTAATCTGCGTGGCCCTGTATATCCTCGGTACAGGACAGGAGGATGTGTAGGATGCATGCACGAGCTGAACCTGTCCTTTTGACAAAAATTCCATTTAGTTGAAAATGTTCCAGCCAGGTTCTTAAGTTTCTAATCACTTATTAAAATGATACTTAGGCTTCTAAGTCACGTAGGCACTTCTGAAAATTTTAGCCTACATCTCTTCAGATGTGGCAGAGCTTCTATAGTCTGAGAAAAATCTCATAAATAGGATTGTTATTAGAACAGTGTGTGGCCAATATTGTAATTTGCTTAGAATGCTTTTAAAATGCTTAGAATGAAAGCTGCTAATGTCTCATTAATAAGCGATATAGAACTATTAGTGTTTCTCATAGACTTTAATTGCAGGAAGTTCAGATGATTTATTTTTAAAATGATCCAATAATTAGTGTTTTCATCTAATTCTGTAAAAATAGAATTTAATGTAATTAATAAGTATTTCAGAGTTCTAAGCAATTGATGGTGTGGCACTTACTTCCTTAGGGAAATATTACTATGTAGGGAATATTCATCGTAATTTGACAATTACTTTGAACATGGGAACAATCTGTTAGACTCCTTCAGATACATTATTGCATGGTAGCAGACTGACTAAATTTATTTTTCTGTGTTACCTTCCCAAACATTTTCACAAGCCCACAAAATAGCTCGGGTTTCCAAAATTTTCTTCCTGTTTTGAGAAATGTATTTTTAATTTAAAATATGTATAAACACAATCTGTGTTTTAGAACCCTAAAGGAGCTGAAAAAGCATATAAAATTTTTGTCAAACTGACTGCTTTTTCTTGTCGATTAACCCCTCTAAGCCTATATTAGCCTTTCTTCACCACTTCCCAGGGGTACTTTCTCCTACTTAAGAATTTTCTCAAGGCTGATAACACCTGGCAGAGAGCACACAGCTCTCTTATTGTTTAAGTGATATATGTACACACTTTCACCAATTTGGTCAACATCTAATGTGTTTATCAAACCCATCCAAGAAAAAATTAAATTTAGTTTTAGAGATGAGAAAGATGACACTCTGCAATCAATACATCTTAACTGTTTTCCACTCTGAGGCACGTAACTTGCTCTGCTTTTACAATAGTTCATTGCTATCCTTGAACATCAACAACTTGCCTGTACTGTAGTGGCTTGAGTCACTTTTCATTACTATTTGGCACTTATTAGATAGCGCTTTTCATCCAGGGTTCTCAAGTTATTTGCAAACATAAGCATTGTCCCAGTTTTACAGATGAGTAAACTGAGACACAGGAGCTAAATTATCTAAAGATGCATAACATGCCAGTGGCACAGTCACAGACAGAAACCAGAATCTCCGGACTTCCAATCTTGCAGTCTCTCCTTTTTTTTTTTGGAGTCCAAAGTTTTCAGTTGTATCGAGGACGTATGAGCTTGAAAGCACTTTTCCATTTTTTTCAATTCTTTCACAAATTGCTCTTTTCACTGTGATTAGGTGTGTGGTAGATTATTTAAAAAAAAAAGATTTTCTTGTGCATTAGACATGGCTGAGTCCCCCTAATGGATGGTCACCAAGCTGTTGTAATTGGACTCAGTGTTTGGACTGCACACATGCTTCCAAGCAATTTGGGTGCAGGCAGCATCCAGTTATTGTTTCTAATTCTGTGTCTCTAAGGCACGCTCCTGGGTGAAGACCTCCTGTCTGTCCCTCTCTCTTCCTTTGGATGTGGAACCCTGCAGTTGAACTGCTCTAGGCCACTGTACCCACTGCTTTGACCTTCCCAAGTTGCTTTTGCAGGTTCCTGCCTTCTCCCCTTCCTCCCAAGAGTTCCACCTCTATGGGTATTCTGGTTTATAGTATAACTCATCGGTGCCACGTGGCTGGTAAAGTAAGGAATGCCGTCTTTGCACAGGAGTTTCTAAAACCACATGAACTTTTACTCTCAAAGCATACAAATGTTACAGATCTTTAGGTAAACAACAAAAAAGTATACACTTTCTCCTGTGAATTTATGCTCACCCTTTATTGTGAGTCCGTAGGCCCAGGCTGAGTGTCAGGTGAGTAGGTACCTCTGCTTCTTGCAGTCCTTCTGTTGTCTGGTGGTGGTCAGCCAGAGGGAGACTTGACAGATCCTGTCCTTAAGTAAGGCTTCTGTCTTCTTGGGCATCTGACTGACTGACCAACTTCAAAACTCCAGGCAGATGGATGTCGGGGAAATTCCTGCTCCCCTGAGCCCCAACTGAGAAAACTAATTTCCTTAAGCCTCAACACTTCTTATAACAAAACCATTATTTTAGGGTGGATCTCTTTGTTTTTGAAGCCCATCACCATTGATGACTCTTCTGTCCTAGATGCCTCTTGACAGGTACTTACACGCTCAAAATGTGAGTTTTATTCTTTAAAATGATGGATACAATGTTATGTGAAAGTCACAATTTAATGCGGACATAAATCAGTCCATCACAGCGTGTTCAAATTTGCCTGGGATTTCCCATTTCCAGACTCATTTTCTGTCTTCACTTCTAGCCATTCTTGGGGATGAGAGTGAAACATGCTGTCGAGTTGACCCTTCTGGCTGAGGACATGACGTGGTACATTTTAGAGCTCTTCAATGCCATGCTAGTATTGACCACTCACTCACTCACATGATACATGAGGCACTTTCCCTTTCCTGCTAGGGAATTTTTGCCCTGCAATGCTCCAGACCCTGCTGGATCATATTAAAACCTGCATTTTGATTCCCACATAACAGTGCAATATGCTATTGGGTTCACAGCTCATTTTAAAAAAGATTATTTTTAGGCAAAAATGGTATTTGTATCTGATATCCAGATCAGCAAAGAGTGGCTATTTGAGAAGTGCAGATTATTGATTCCACCTCTTTAATTAGGGACGATAGCAGACAGCTATTGTGTAAAAATTGACTGACCTTCAATAAGAAAACAGTTAAGGGAAGTTCATTGTTTTCTAATGAAGTTGTGTGTTAGGAAATTAGTCAATGAAAATTTATTTCTTTTGTCAATAGACTAAGGCCTGGTCTACACTGAGGGGGGGGGGATTGATCTAAGTTACGCAACTTCAGCTATGTGAATAACGTAGCTGAAGTCAACGTACTTAGATCTACTTACCGCGGTGTCTTCACTGTGGTAAGTTGACAACTGATGCTCCCCCGTCAACTCCGCCTGCGCCTCTCGCTCTGGTGGAGTACCAGAGTCGGTGGGAGAGTGCTCGGCGGTCGATTTAGTGGGTAATGTAGACAAGTCCTAACAGACTTGCTTCCCTCCCCCTTGAGTGGAAAGTCATAATATCAAAATATTTCTTCTAGGCTTTGCTGGAGATAGTGTTTGGCGCAAAGGTGGTTATAACAGGTGATGGGTTCATCCCCGGAGAAAGAAGTGTCATCATAATGAACCACCGGACACGAATGGACTGGATGTTTCTATGGAACTGCCTGCTGCGATACAGCTACCTCAGACTAGAAAAAATCTGTCTCAAATCCAGTCTCAAAAGCGTTCCAGGATTTGGTAGGTCATCTACAGTTTTAATGGATAAAAGAGAATTAGTAATAAAATACAGTATTTCACTTCTCTAACACCACCCTAACCTCCTCTGCAACTTCTGCTTCAGTGTTAAGATCAACATTTTCCCACTCTGTACAAATGCACTTGTCAGGCTTCTTGTTTCATTAACTAGCATATGCTACCAAAAGGGGGTGAGTGTGTAAGTGTGTGTGTGTGTGTTTTTTTTTAAAGCTTCCTGTGGACAAGTCAGAAATCAGCGTTCTTTCTCATAGCCATAGTTTTAAATTCAGGTAACAGAAATACACTGTACAGTATATGAAATAGCTTAGTTTTGTCCTTTTGTTGGTCATTGTTACAGTGATGTAGGCCAGAAACTAGTTTGGGCTGAAGATACTGAACAGAGAAATTATTTCAAATGAGCCAAAAAATTTTCATGCAAGTAGTTTCAGAATAAATATGCAGATTTATCTGAAATAAATACGCCTTTTTACATTTTATTAATTTTTTTAGATTTGTTTGACATCTCACACAAAATTGCTTTGTACAGGATATGTATCAGCTTTCTGAAGTCCAAAGGGTAACCTAATTTGTGATTCCCTTTTGTCAGTCCATTTACTTACACAGATAATTTTTGGCAGTGGTACATATAATTCTGGTAATAGTGAGTGACTTGCTGAGCAGTAGGGAGAACTCTCATATTGTGCCACACCAAAATTACTTCATCCTCACCTTACACCATTGTTGTGATGGTCTTAAGACAGTGCATGATCTGACTTTAATATAACACTGTAGCAGGATAGAAGGTTCAAAGACTCTGCATAGGATTACAAGGCTCCCCTGCTGAGCCAGCTTAAATTCAGATGCTTGAACACTGCAAAAAAGATGCACAATACTGTAACATACCCGTGGGGTACCACCTGGAACTGTGGGACCACTGAGTCCCCTTAAACTGTTCATCCTGGCCTGTCTCTCACAATGTCGTGCTAATGATAAGCAGCAAACCCCTCCAGATTCTGTGATCAATCAGCCATCAACACGTGGAGGCATACATCCACCTAAATTGCATGAATGCTCTCTAAGCTACTCACGAATTATACACTGTGAGACTCCAGCCAATTTCCCCAGCCCCTGCCCACCTTGCACCCCAGTGATGTACCATCTTACACTGCTCAAGACTGCCTCTTGAACACTGCACGCTCATTAATTAGTTCGTCACTTTGTCAAAGGAAAGTGGACGTGCACCAGCCATTGTAATCTGAGCAGGTTCCTCAAACACTCTAGACAAACTTATTTTAATGTTTTATCCTTACCAGTAAGTTTATTAACTGCAGAAAGATAAATTTTAAGTGATTATAAGTGTTAGGCATAAAGGTCAAAGTTGGTTATATAAGAAATAAAAATAGAAATGCAGGCTAGATTCTAAACTTTAACAGACCAAGCAAGATTTGAATCAAACGGCTTTTCTCACCCCACTGGATGTTCCGGGCAGTTTACAGTTCTTAAAACACAGGCTGAATTCCCTTCTCAGCCTGGGACCGATCTCCCCAGTTCGAGGTCTTTGTCTTCCAGGTGATCTTCCAGGTGTTGAGATGGGGGAGGAGAGAGACCAAGTGGTGATATAATTGACCCTCATTTACACTTTCTATGCAGGTGCTAGAAAGATCCTTGTTGTGATGTGGGGGTTAAGTAGCCCCATTGTATATGTGCCTTCTCTGAGGAATCTCTGGGAGAGTAGATTCTTCTTGATGGGCCATCAACACATGTCTAGTTGGTCCTGATGTAGATCTGTCTTGTCAGTGTTAGTTGCCCCTTTGTTGCCAATGAAAGGCTAGCTGTGGGCTACTTTCCACTTACCACATATTTCAGAAACAGACATATAGCAATATTTCATAACTTCACATACAATGATAGTACATACAATTCAACAGGATATTAATGTTCAACAGACTTCTTAAATGATACCTCACAAGGCATGCTGTCAAGGTTCCTTCCCCACTCTGAACTTTAGAGTACAGATGTGGGGGCCTGCATGAAAACTTCTAAGCTTAACTACCAGCTTAGATCTGGTCTGCTGCCCCCACTCCCAAGGGCTGGCTAGCTCCCTTCCCTGGGTAGCCTTGAGAGACTTTCCATCAATTCCCTGGTGAACACCGATCCAAAAACCCCTTGGATCTTAAAACAAGGAGGAATTGATCAGGTTCTTAAAAAGAAGGCTTTTAATTAAAGAAAGAAAGAAAGGTAAAAATCATCTCTGTAAAATCAGGATGGGAAAATAACTTTACAGGGTAATCAGATTCAAAGAGCCCATAGGATCCCCCTCTAGCCTTAAGTTCAAAGCTACAGCAAACAGAGATAAACACTCTAGCAAAAGGTACATTTACAAATTGAGAAAACAAAGATAAAACTGGCTGTACTTACAAGTTTGAAATATGAATGACTTGTTCAGAAAGATTTGGAGAGCATGGATTGATATCTGGTCCCTCTTAGTCCCAAGAGTGAACAACCACCAAAACAAAGAGCACAAACAAAAGTCTTCCCCTCCCCCCCCGAAGATTTTAAAGTATCTTGTCCCCTTATTGGTCCTTTGGGTCAGGTGTCAGCCAGGTTACCTGAGCTTTTTAACCCTTTACAGGTAAAAGGATTTTGGTGCCTCTGGCCAAGAGGCAGGGCCGGCTCTAGGATTTTTGTCACCCTAAGCAGAAACAAGTTCCCCGCCCCCCCCCGTTTTTTTCTTACCCCATCCCTGGCCCCGCCTCAGCTCCGCCTCTTCCCCAAATCCCCAGCCCTGCCTCCTCCCCCCCAAGCTCTCAAGCCTGGGAGGGAGGGGGAGCAGCGGCGCGCGAATCAGCTGTTTTGCGCACTGCGGCCGCTCGGGATCTCCCCCTCCCTCCCAGATTTGAGAGCCTGGGAGGGAGGGGGAGCAGCGGTGCACGAGCGGCAGCAGCGGAGGTGAGCTAGGCGGCCGGGGCACATTTTTAGGGGCGGCATTCTGGCGCCGGCTATGCTGCCCCTAAAAATGTGCCGCCCCAGGCACCAGCTTGTTTTGCTGGTGCCTAGAGCCGGCCCTGCCAAGACGGATTATAGTATGGTACACAGGAGGGCTGTTACCCTTCCCTTTATAGTTATGAGACATGCACTGTACAAAACCTATCATAATCGTATCACAGAGGTGAATATGGGGGTTCCAGGGTGCTATTTTGAGATACAGAGTGTCACAAATACTTACTGCTGACACATGCAAGCAAGTGGATTTTGTTAGTTCCAATCCTGATGTAAGGGGGCAGAGAGAACTAATAGCTGACATAGAGGAGGTTTTGCAGGGAAACCTGAGGAACAGCCAAGTTTGGGAAGACTCTAATTTAAAGTGTGCAATTTAAGTTTAAAGCCAAACTCTTGGAAAAGAGAAGTTTGGACAATTCAGTGTGTGCCTGTGGGTAGAGCGAGTTGGTCTGTTCAAAGCAGGACAGGCACTGCACCTCTTTCAAAATAGTGGCCTCCTCTCCTTTGTTAGCATGTGAGAACTCTCCCTCATTCCTAGCCATTTTACACATAACTACACCTCTACCCTGATATAACACTGTCCTCGGGAGCCAAAAAAATCTTACCACGTTATAGGTGAAACCGCGTTCTATCGAACTTGCTTTGATCTGCCAGAGTGCGCAGCCCTGCCCCCCCAGAGCGATGCTTTACCGCATTATATCCGAATTCATGTTATATCGGGTCGCGTTCTATTGGGGTAGAGGTGTAGTTACTTTGGCGTATTTTGTAAGATATAAGGAAAGGAAATTCATACAGCAAAAACTGTGTGTTTAATGAGTTCAGGTTACAGCAGGACGCACTCCACGCAACCAAAACCTTAAAAGTAGGGAAATAAGTTGTCTCCAACACCCTTTGCCACCTTCACGTTGCCTACAGTGTGGAGGTCCGTAACACTTAGCACTCAATAAGGCATTCACTTTCATCTTAAACAGATAACAGAGCAATACATACCCCCAGCTTAATCAAGCTCTTGTTCTTAAAGCAAAATCTTAACTCTTTCTTCTTAATCTGTTATACCAAGAAATTTCCTGACATGAGCTGCAGAAGAACTAATGTTCTTTGTGTACATTAATCTAGAGAAGAGCCACATGGAGCGTCTTCAAAGTAGGCTTGACGAATTATTAGAATATGAGCTGATGAATAGACCCCAAAATAGAAGGGTTATACTTCTGGCCCTGTGTTTAATGACAGACTAGTAAATTGAATGCATGGCTAAAAAGGCAGTGCTAATAGTAGGGTATTAGTTTTGTGGCACAATGGAGTTCATTTTACAACAGTTTGGCTGGCTGGAGCTGTATAGAAGGGACACCATTGTTACTTGTTGTGAGATGCTTTAAACTAGCAGGCAAGACAATGCTGTGCAGAATGGCAGAAAGGGAAGGAGTGAATGAAAAGTGAGATCCATGAATCCAGCAAAGAGATGCACATGGAGAATTTTTATATGAACTTGACTGAAACACAGTGCAGCAGCAGAAGCATTCGGGGGCTAAATACAGAAGGCTAGAGATCATTAGACGTCAGTGGGAGCAGTTTATTCCTCATGTCAATCCTGTGCTTTGCTTTCCAGTGCAGATTTTTAAATCCATGTCAGGACTGCAAATGTATATTCAGTAGATCTTGTGATAAATATCTGTAGGAAATTGTGGCCAAGGAGTATAATTATGAATTCAGCCAGGCAGTGTAAAAAATTTCATATTTTACCTCCATGGCCCTACCATGCGACGTGAAAGCCTTTTAATTGGTACTAATAGCTGAAGAAAAGTCTTCAGCAATTTTGCAGTTCTGTTTTTAAAAGCCTTTGCCCATTTTGTAAGCTTTTAGCATTTAACCGAATCTTTTAAAGGTCACAAGGAAAGAGAATTTAGAGCTTTTGATACATTTGCTAAAGGCAATTGTTTTCATTCTTAGGCAGCTACATGGTGGTCAGTACTTTAAGTATTTCATTCAGAATTGTGTACAGCATG